GCCGTTCCTCACGCTAGCCCCCGGCCTCTGCTCACTGTAGGCCGCCGTGTGTGAGACGCTGTTTCGTTGTGAAAGCGAAACTACTTTGTTTGGCCTTCCAAAAATGGACACGACTAGAAATCAGTGGTTAAGTTGTATTTACAACACTGTTCCAGAACACTTCAACCCAAATATTCAGATGTGTGCAGCACATTTTATGGAGGACTGTTTCCTGATCCTGGGAGAGTAGACTACAATGCCGGCTTTTCTGGCTCACGGACTGTAAGTACGGTTTTTATATTTAAAGAGTTTTTATATTTTATATATTTAAAGCGAGTTTTTTGGGCAGTGTAGAGTAGGGCTTGTTGTTTGTCATTTCTCCGATCACAAATGCAGACATGGTTTTATGTTTACGCGGCGCGATGCAACGCGTAAAAAGACAGTATAAATCATTATAATTCATAATTATGTCCCCACTGGATGCAACGAATGCCTCGTTTATAATGGGTTGTCATGTTTTTGAATCATCACTCCGGCCTGACAGGGCATCATCACAATATGGCAGGGGCGTAACATTTCCGTCACATGCTTGAGGTATTCGGCCAATCACAGCACACCTCGCTTTTTCAGACCGATGAGCTTTGTAAAAATCAACGCATTTCAGAAAGGCGGGACATAGAGGAAAAACAATGTACAGTATGTGGAAAATGTGTTTTTCGAACCTTAAACCGCATAAACGCATTTCATTACACCAAATACACAAAATAATGTTCTTTTTAGCAACATCATATGACCCCTTTAAAGTATTTTAAAAATATAACTTCACTGTATTTTTGATCAAATAAATGCAGCCTTGGTGAGCATAAAAGTCTTTTCATTACAAATATCTTACTGACCCCAAACTTTTGAATGGTATACAAGTCTTCTGAAGTCACAACAATAACATTTTGATCAACATATAGAATTAAATCAAAACTGCTCACTTATAATCCCCTTCAGTGAGCTGTAAATCATCAGCTCAGAGTGATTCTTGAATTGAGAATCTGATGAGTTTGATTCATTAATGATTCAATGAGATGAATTTTGTGAACCAAACAATCTGATTCACTGAAAATATCAGACTTGGATGGAGAAAAAAAATAAAAAAATTTAATTCACGGGCATCACTACCTCTCTCGCTGAACTCTCCCAAAGAGAGTGTTAAATTTCAGTCTGTTCCTCATACACAGCTATCAAATGCATTCAGAAGACTAACAGACTAATATAGTGCATAAAATGCCATTGTCCATTCAGTGCAATTGCATGGAAAAAAGCAACCAACACATTTAAAATATTTCCTATAATGTTTCACAGAAAAAAAAAATCTAATGTTCTTTTAGGGTAAACTACATACAGTGAATGTCAGATGTGCTATTTACAAGCATCTCACTGACCAAAGCCACAAAGCAGCCATTCATTCGCCAGGGCCGCACGTTTAAATAGAAACAAGGTGGTCAATGGTTGCACGTCATTGTTAGCCTCTCAATAAACAAGTGAATTATACAGGGCTGTCACAAAACGGATTCAAGATTTTGATTTAACATAGAAAATGTATACTTAAGAGACGGGGAAAAAAACAAGTTACATTTAATGCATTTAATGGCCAAAAAAAAAAAAAAGGTCATGCAGCTAATGCTGCTATGACTTGAGCGATAACGCTTGAAACCAGGAGGAATTTGCCTTTAGACTGCACAGAACAATTTGAAATCTATAAATTGAAGCTCAAGCACCACGGGCTGGTGCATGACAATCCAAAACAGAGTGTAGTTCGCCGGTGGCTACATTCTCTCTCTCCCCCCAGATGAGTCATTAACAGGCAGGCAAAACCAAGTGTCCTGGCTTTAAATGCCACCCTCTAAAAATAAACCCCCAATTGCAGCCTGACTAATGTCTCCATCAGTATTCTCTGTTCTTGGCCTGCATGCTAGTTTAAACGCTAACCTGCATGGTGCACTTTTCCACAGGAGGGGGGACCTCCATCTTGCCCTCTCTTGATGCTAATGGCTTGGAAATTTCCGCTGCCTTTTACACACAGTTCTCTGAGGGTTTTCTTTACACGTACCTAGTAGGGGAGGGGATCTGCTTTATCACGAAGTCATATGTTAGGAAAAAGCTGTAACCACCCTCTAAAAATAAACCCCCAATTGCAGCCTGACTAATGTCTCCATCAGTATTCTCTGTTCTTGGCCTGCATGCTAGTTTAAACGCTAACCTGCATGGTGCACTTTTCCACAGGAGGGGGGACCTCCATCTTGCCCTCTCTTGATGCTAATGGCTTGGAAATTTCCGCTGCCTTTTACACACAGTTCTCTGAGGGTTTTCTTTACACGTACCTAGTAGGGGAGGGGATCTGCTTTATCACGAAGTCATATGTTAGGAAAAAGCTGTAACAGCTTTGAAAGGTGTAGAAAGCCTTGTGTTGTACAATATATATGGGTGTTTCTACAACTACAAGCACATTTATGTCCCAGGGGATGATTTGTATTACAGATTTTAATGCCTTTCTTTTTGTGAAGGTCCCATTAAAACGCTCTTGGAAACTTATGTTTTCATTATTTATCATTTAATTTTTTTTTATAGAGTTTAATGTTTTACCATTGTCCCAGACCCAGATCTTCAATGTTAAAATATGAAAATCTATCTTAAAATACTGATCGTTAAATTTTAAAAACCATGATATATTAAACATAGAATTAAATAATTAACTTTGTTTCTAGCATGGAAATCATTTACACAAGTTGACAATTTTTAAATAGATAAGTTGTGGTGTCATATCACACCCCAAAATTTTGCCCCAATAAAGTTTTATCAAAAGTTAGTGTACTTGCTTACCAGGGAGAAACGCGTTTGGTATGAAATTAGGCATGATGGCAAATTGTGAATTGAGTATTTTTGTCACAACGTTTCCAGTCAAACGTTTTCAATTTAAAGCACATAAAATGCTAGCTATGGAATTCGTCTTAGCAAGACAATTTATTGTCATAAAACAGGGATTCTCAAATTTTGTAAGCTGAACCCAACTGATGTAAAATCCACCTCTGTGATTTTAGATTAGTATTTCAATAATTTAACGAAACATTTGTATGTTCACTGTTTTCTTATGTTGGTTAATAGTTACATGGCAAGCAGTTAAACCAATCAAATATTTTCTAAGTGTTTTATTTTGACTTTTTATTTTAACATTTATTAAAACATGAATAAAATTTACATTATGGCACAATTAATAATTTGCTTTTCATCAACTTGCAATTCTCCAGCAGTTCCCTCACAAACCCCAGTTTAGCAAACCCTGCCAGAATATCATTTACTCCAGCGAATGTTATCAAATGCAATAATAATTTGAGGTGGTGCATAAAAATTAAAGAGGACAAATTAAATAGACCAGCTGTGAAAAAATTGGGTCCACCGGTCCAAAAAAAACAAAAACAAAAAAAACACCCTGAATATTCTGTGCACATGAACTGCTGGAGTCACCAATAGCTCTAGAAAACCAAACATGCATGATTGATGTAGAATGAAGATGGGTCTCAGGTTGAGGTGAAAGAGGAGGGGAGGTTCCTGTGGGCTGAGGGCGATAAGAACCCTCCTTTCAAATAAGGCTACATAAAGCATGAAACAGTGTGATTAAGCCAGGAATGCAGCGGTTGACGTGCATGCCTACATGGCCCTTTACATCTGAATCGCAGACAGACAGAGTGTCTACGGCCTCCTGTGAGGCCCTCTTCCCCACGTTAATGGAGAGAGATGGGGAGGACTTAATAAAGCTTGGTGAGACACCTGCTCCTAGTCACCCACACTGGGGAATCTGAGCAGTCTGGGTGTTTATTTCACACGAGGGGACTCCAACGGACTGGAATCGAACACACGCACACACACAGGCACAGACACACAGGGGCTCACAGGATTTGGGCTTGCATAACTGTTTTTCAGCACCTTGGAGCACAGACGGCGAGGGGCCCTGCTCTCAGAGGGCTTAAGGAGTCCTGCTCAAAAGTAGCAGCTGCCTCGGGACCTTTCCCTCCTCGCAGGGGCCCAGGGGATCACGTGGCTTGGCTACAATCAAGAGCCTTTTAAACATTTAATCATTTAGCAGAGAGCACACACATATTCTCCACCCTAAACAGCTGTCACGGGGCATCCTGTGCCGCTGAAACCAGAGGACGTCATTAACCGCCATAAAACGTGCTCTGAAACAAGTTAGTATTTTATATCTGACACAAAGTTCTCCCATGGGATGCTACTCAATCAATGTCAGGACGTCCTGGGTAAAGAGCTTTTGATGTGTACGGCTGATAAATTGCAGTCTGCAATAAAAAAAAAGGCGGTGCAAGCTGTAATTCAAGTTCATTTAAATACAAATCCAACAGCAACTAATAGGTAGTTGACATGAAATACTTTTGGAAAGTTGTCCTGTGGTATGAGGTGTTGTACCTCATTTAAAACAAGCAGCATTTACCCTTTTAAAAAAGAATTATATAATTATTTTACCATAAAAACACATGCAGATTTTATGATGTCATATAACCTGAAAGACAACAAAGAATATTTAAGCTTTAAAATTGTTATATAAAAAAAGTTCATATTAGAAATGAGAATATATATTATAATATATATTATAATTGTTCAATACATTTGAATCAGGTTTATTTTATCTTATTTTTTAACCTTGTGTTTGAGCTGCATTTTAGGTATGAAAAGTGCTATAAAAACATATACCAATTTATTTATTTATTTATAAGGTAAATACACTTTTTCCTCACACACAAAACCCACATGTAATCAAACTAAGTAAAACTGATTGAGTTTACCAATGATAGTAAGACTCATTTGCCAACAGGAATCAGTACTTCAAAAACTCAAAACTACAGGAAGATCTGAAAGACAAGCGTTTTCTCCACAAGAATTCACTGTCGAAATCTCTCAAGTTTTCCATTTGATTGGCACTGAAGGCTATATTTAGACAAATAGCTAACAGACTAACTGGGATGACACAAACAATGCAGGACGACACCAAATGTAAAAGCGGCCGTCAATCCTCATTTCAACAGAGTCATCTGGTGCGGCAATTCTTCCAGACCTTCAGGAATTAGCAGCGTGATCAATGGATATAATTTCCCTCTTTTCTTCCTCTCTTGGGTAAGGCTGCTAATCAGCAACACCAAGCGAAGCAACACGGTTTGTTTAATTATTCTGGTAGTTTACAAGGACACTGAGGACTTCATGGGAAAAAAAAAAAGTGGGGAGGGGGTGGATCGGAGCGAAAAACTGGTAATAAATATTGTTGTTTCAGCCCTAATTAAATTGTTCAGTAATTTCTCAACACAAAAGAGAACAGTTTATCTGTTTAAAATCAATAGCCCATTTCACGGTGAGCCACATCCCAGGAAGACGAAAGTGTCATTACTTATTCTGTTCTCTAAGCTTCCACTGTGCCTGTTCTCCCAAGGTTGAATCTGTTTAAGGAGACAGACAGAGAGAGAGAGAGAGAGAGAGGAGAGAAAGTCAATAATAATTCCTCTTTTATAAATGGATGGATTTGGCTGTCAGGGGACAGCTTTTCAAATGCAGTGTCTCAGCTCTCTCAATGACTCTTAAGTAATGTCTACAGAGCCACTCACGCACAAATAAGATCATTAAAAGCACTGATTACCTCTGAGCCTTCACCACTCATCTTTAAAATATTCTTTACTCTGACAAGTGGAAAGCCAATTTAAACGGAGATGTTAAAATGAGCCGAATGCGATGTGCTGCAGTGGAGGCCGTCTTCCAAAACAATTCAGAGGCGGCCCGATGACTGATTACCCAACCGCTTATTTGTTTTGAAACAATTACTGGTAATCGTATTGATGTTTATGCGCGGTGCCCTTTCTGAGAAGTAAAACTCTGCTTTGTAATTACATCACTGGAATCTAATCAAGAGATAAACCTTCACCTATGCTAACAACATATTAAAATGCAAATCAGCGCAGTTGCAGATTCGTGCGCACTCGTGGGCCTAATTACCCCGTGATGTCACAGACGTGGTCCTCGTGTTCCGTTTCCTTGGCAATCTATCAATCTGAATCTGTTCATTAACTTTACAAATATTAATGACAAGACGTACAAATCTGAAATAATCTGTTTTTGATGAGCAGCGCAGGTGCAGACGAAGCTCGAAGGAAACATGACACCATTGTCGCCCTATCAGACAGACATCATTGAGCCCTTGGACTCGCATTACCAGATCACCCTGAGGTAAAGCTATAGTGATGTCAGATCATCTTCAGGTCAGAGGGCAGGACCCCTCACACCATCGTGACTTGGATCCTTCATCTAGTCTGAAGCGATGTGTCTGTGGTGACAGTCTGTAGTAAAAAGACTTTTAGCTGATCTCCTAAGGGAGACACATGGGATGATCCATTCAGCTATGATGTTCCATGTCAATAATTCATATCCATGCAGAGAACACCACATGGCCTAATGTGAACCATCTACGAGTGCACGACTGCAGCGTTTCATCAGTGATAAAGAAAAAAGGCATTGAAGAATTTTCCAGTCCAATTTACTCCCACAAAATGGCTGTAGGATCTTGGTTTCTGTAAAAGTATGCTCATTTAAGGAACTTTTGGCTGTGAATCAGTCAGAGATAAATGAGGGTAATTATACACATGGCCCAACTGTTTAAATTAGGTTACACGTTACAATACTTTTAACTGCTAAAATGAATGCTGAAACTGCTGGTTTCCTTTAGCAAAATACATGGGCTGATTTTTTTCTAGCGTGCCATTTCTGTAGTGCAAATGCAGTGCCTCTGATCTGCTCCCTAAAAACATGATAATAAATAAGACAGTAAACAAAATTTGGTAATTCATTCACCCTTATGTCATTCCAAACCTGTATGACTTACTTTTGTCCGTGGATCAAAAAAGCAGTTGTTTTGAAGAATGTTCAAGCTGCTCTCTTCCATACAATAACAAAAACAAAGGAATAATAATAATTTAAACGTTATATAAAACATTTCATACATACTACATATATTTCAAAACTATATAATACTGTCTTTATAAAATATTACATTAATATATAAATGTGTGTATAATTATTTATATTTATTTATTTATTTATTTATTTATTTATACACACATACAGGTTTGTTTTTTGGTTTATGGGGACTCTCCACAGGCGTAATGGTTTTTATACTGTACAAACCGTATTTTCTATTGCCCTACACCAACCCTACCCCTAAACCTACCCCTTACAGGAAACTTTCTGCATTTTTAGATTTTCAAAAAAAAACTCATTCTGAATTATTTAAAAGCCTTTTGAATTACGGGGACACTGAAAATTTCCTCATAAATCACCTTCTCATAATACCCATGTCATACCCATGTTATTATACAAATGTGTGTCCTCAAACCACAAACATGCACACACACACATACCTAAATATATGTATATAGATAGATATCTTTAGATATGCAAGTATTCTAGAATTGTTTTGCTGAAACTGAACAAATCCTGCATGAGATGACATTTATCACAGCTATTCAAATCTTGAGAATCATTCAACAATACCACATTAGGAAAAACAACACACAACACACTCAAGCACAATACTTCATTACACACCCAGCATATTTTCCATGATGATAGCTGGCTGACGCTCAAGAGCGCAGTGACTTACAGCTCCACCTGCAGGAGAACCCCCACAGTGCATTTCAGCTAAACTGCAGGCCAGCCAGGACTAGGGGGCAATAGAGTGCACATAATCATTCGGCTTTGTTGGTAATGAGGTGCTAGGGAAACCGTAAGCACAGAGCAGCAGGTCTGAGGTCAGTTTTATAGAGTGATTCGAGATGATTAAAGTCAAAGCTGGGGTTTGTGGCAATTTGAAACCCGACAGCTCAGTGTATAGAACCAAACACTACACCAGGAGTGAAGAGGGAAAGGCATCCGAATGCTGTCGTAAACATGGCAGACACGCATGCTTGTAAGGAGAGCGTGGAGAGGGACCAGCCCACCACCATCAGGCCAGCATTTAGTGCAGCAGGAAAACAGACGGCCTGGCTGGGCTCCACCGCGGCCCGCAGCTTAGCAATTAGAGATTGTCCAGCTTTGACTAAAGAACAACCAGACTTTAAAAAAACGACTCTACCTGACTCCCTGTAACACTTGGTTACAACCTACCTAATGCATCTCAGCAGAAAAAGATATATGTTCCCACCTGAGAGGGCAAAGACCAATGGAAAATCCCATAGTGGCCATAAAAGCCAATGTTGCGTTTCTACACTGGGCCACAGTGTACAGTCTGGAGTTTTCCTGGCAGACAGCTTACTGCCGCCGTAATTCACAGCACATAAATCTAAGCAGTCATAATGTCCAGCAGGGCTTGAACGGTGATGAAGACTGAGAAGAAGAAGAAGGGGAGAGAGAGAGAGAGAGAGAGAGAGAGAGAGAGAGAGAGAGAGAGAGAATGTATACAATATACATGCAATACAAATGTATAATTTTTGTCATGCCAATAAAGCACTCTTAAATTGAAATTGAAATTGAGAGAGAGAAGTATATCCTCTCTCTCTCTCTCCTTCCTCAAGATGAACCGAGCAGAGACCGGGCAGAAGTGGATGCAGAGCTGAGCGCTAAAAGGTTACCGCTTGGACATCGAGCCATTAGGGGAAATCACTTAGAGGACTGGCTGCGAAGGGATGGCTGATGGGAAATGAATCAGGCAGGAGCCAGAGTTGGAGTCGGAGCCACCAGGGACCATTGATCCTGAGCCGGATGAGATTCTGGATCCTGTAGACAAACCACCTGATTTAACCCTCCCTCCTCGTCTGTAAGGTCGGGGTAAAGTCACCATCCTGACCCCTGGAATGTGATCCTGAGGTGTGGAGCTTTACACGTGCTTCCAGCCAAGGCTGGATGAGCACTAGTGCGTGTCTGCCAATGGGAAGGCAGAGTAAGGACGGCTCACACAGGGATAATCTAACAGGAACATACAGTACAAGTTTGTGGCTCATTTAAGTGAACTATGTTTTTCTGAGCGTATAGCTCTCGACAGAAGTGGCAGGAATGCAGCGCCTATGATTAATTGTAGCAGTCTCCTCCAACTTAAAGAGCTAAGCATCCCTGACAATCTATTTTTTCCCTTTCTTTAATGTTGACAAAGCATTTTGCACCAAACACTGCTGAGTAAATGTTCGTACTGCAAGCGTGCACAATTCGCAAACTGTTTGTCCCCCTCAAATATACTATTTTTCCCAATCTTTCGCGCACCTGCAATTTAGCTTTTGGTGTGCAACAGCTCTTTTTCCTGCCTGCTCTCAAATTAAGAACAGCACACTCATCAAAACCAGCCCCATCTGAGACACAAGAAACAGTCCGACTCAGCTCTCTCCGGGGGGAGGCAGATTGCTTGCGGGCTGCACGGCGTTCGGACAAACTACAGAACAAAAGGACGCAGATCAGAGCTGGTATGTTCTGCGATTGTCTTGGTATTTATGAACTCAATGTGATGTGTTCTCAATAACCGTTTCAGTATATACAAATGACTCAATTCAAGAATTTAAAAACAAATAACTTAAGTCAAGCTTTGCCTTTCAGCCTGGGAAGCAACTCAATTGTCCGTCCCTAGATGAACAAAACTATATCTGAAACCGGATAAGATTTCCTGTTCCCTGCAAAAGCCACCCTGTGGCATGGTGCGGTGTAAAACTGTTAAAATGCCTGAGCATATGCCTCCACCTGCTGGCTGCCAGTGGTACTTCACCTGGTGTCTGTTCACTTTAGCTGATCCCTTTCCAAACATGCCTGTTACTAGACCAGAGGCAGCTGTGCACTACTTTAATACACTGGCACACATGCCACCTCTTAAAACACAGATGACTTCTGTTACAATGACATAAGAACAAGCACTGCAGAGCTATAAATAGTAATTTTTCTAGATATTTGGGACTTGACGAGCATAAAATAAATAAATAAATTTACAAAATAAACGTAAAATTAAAAAATGAGTGCGTGCCCATGGTGTGTGTTCACTAGTCACTGCTCCTAACATGTGTGCGCTAACTTGGATGGGTTAAATGCAGAGGAAGAATTCCGAGCATGGGTTACCATACTTGGCCTTCATGTCTCTTCACTTGTAAAAATGTAAAGAAAACCATGCAAAATTTAATTTCCAGTATTAATGAACAACATTAAAACTGCAGAGTATTTTGTTTCCAGAAATTTAGGACTTAAAAAAAAAAATAGGGACTACACAAATTAAAATACATAAATTATTTGTCACAAGATGGCAGTGTTGTGAGTTTAATCATCGTCTGGATTTCTGCAGGGGTCAAATGCTGCATCCCAATGTGCCTGCTTATACTACGCCCTTAAAGTATGTACTCTTTTGGTGAAGAAGTAGTACACACTTTTGAGTGTGTAGTAGAAGAGTAGCTTTGGGACATACTATCACATCATACAATTGCGT